AGGGAGCCCGATGCGGGACTCGATCCCGGGACTCCAGAATCATGACCTGAGCCGAAGGCAGTCGCTTAACCGACTGAGCCACCCAGGCGCCCCATTTTTTTTTTTTTTTAAGATTTTATTTTTAAGTAATCTCTACACCCAAGGTGGGGCTCAAGATCAAGAGTCGCATGCCCTTCCCACTAACCAGCCAGGCGCCCCATCCAGGTAGACTTTTTATTTCCACTTTTCAAATGAGAAGATGTAGGCTTTGAAGGATGACCAGAATCCCCCCAACTGGGAAGTGGCAGGTCTGGGATTTGGTTCTAGGGCTGTGAGAGTTCCAGAAGCTTGTGCCCTTCATGAAGATGCTATATTAGCTCATGAGCTAACATACGGGCAGTGTGGTAATAACACCCATTGGCTTGCAGTGAGTCTTCAGCATATATGTTCTGTTATTGTTACTGTTGTTGTCGATCTCCCCTTCTCTGGGCCTGGGGCTTGTGAGGGTGTCAGCTGGATGGGCCAGGTCATGATGAGTGGAAAAATCCTTCTTTGGATGTTTGACCAGAAAAAAACTGGAATGTAGCTGAGCTCCATGCTCATACCTGGAGGCTGGAGTTGAGATGAGCTCTGGAGCCTTGAGTGCCCTGTGGGAAGCCAGTGGAATCAATTCGTTCTCTTCCCAAAATCCACAACTGGAACAATGATGGAATGTTCTGACATTCTTACCACAAGCCAGCCCCTGTGATAAATGTTTTGTTAAGCATCAAATCCTCAACTTCCTGGTGAGAGGTGTTTTTGTCCCGTTCTGCAGATGAGAAAGCTGAGGCTCAGAGGCAGAGTGCCCTGCCCAAGCCAGTGAGAAGCAGGGTCAGGAATCAGCTCAGGCCCTTTTGAACCCCAAATCCAAATTTGTAACCTCTGATAGGACTGCTACATATATCCACAACATGTTGCAGATTTTCTGGGTTTTCTTTTTTTTTTTTTTTTTTTAAAGATTTTATTTATTTATTTGACAGACAGAGACACAGCGAGAGAGGGAATACAAGCAGGGGGAGTGGGAGAGGGAG